CGCGGTTCAATCCCCCAGCACCACATGCCAGCCAGCCCCGCCCCCTGGTGGGCTGAGCTGGCCACACACAAAATAAACAAACAAACAAACAAATAAATATTAAAAAAAAAAAAACCCAGTCCTTGTGCTTGCCTAAGCAGGCACTTAGTCCACTGAGCTATCCCACAGGCCCTTATAAAATAATTCTATAAATTTTGCATCCTGTATTGTTCCCCTCGTGAACCCAAACTCCAACAAACCATGATCTGGGACCTGAGCCTGTGAGCTCTGAGTCAAATAATCCCTTCCTTTACTTCGTAAGCAAGACACATTAACTGTTCATAAATCTGCCACTAGAGAATATATCTTAAGGTAATGTGTATGGTTATCAAGTTGACCAGGTGTAGGTCGCGGTTGATCTTATAAAGTAAGTGTCCTAAATTCAATCGTTTGCCCTTGTAAATCCCAAACCACAACAATGGTGATTGGGTCATTAAGAGCAAGGACTACCTTTCACTCAGGTACACGAGAGGAAAGCCACTCCTTCTTCTCAGCATACCCACCTGCGCTGACACTTTTCTGCCATGGTATATATGACACAGCACAAGGCCCTCACAGATGCCAGAACAGCACCCTTAGATTTCCCAATTCGCAAAGCCAGGAACCAAAATTAACTCTATTCTTTGTAAATTACCCAGCCTTAGGTGATTCTGCTACAGCAGAATCTACAGACTGCAAGCTTCTCAAAGGAGTGACAGCAGTGGTATGGGTAGACTGGGGCAACAGCACATTGGGCCCTCACTCAAGAAAGCAGTTCTGCTCAAAGCTGGAAATGTCTATGGTAGAAAATTTTTGTAAAAAGTTATATTTGTTGTTTGCTTGTTTGTTTTTGGAGACAAGATCTAAGTTGCCAAGTAGCCCAGGGTGGGCTGGAACTTGTGATTCCCCTTCCTCGGCCTCCCAGGAGTACTGAGATTACAGGTGTGCCTCACCACACCCAGTAGAACAGTTTTTTGAGGTGGAATATTTGGGTTCTAGACTCAGCTTTGCTACTCATTGGCCCCCAGTTTCTTTCTGCCTCTGGTTCCTGCTCTGCAAAAATGAGACAGATGGCATCTATGTTCATTCTGGGTCAGAGAGATAACTGTTCCGAGTGAGCCAGCTTTTGCTACACACTTAGCAGACTTGTGTTCTGCCTGCTTTCTCACAGAGTCCCCATTTCCCCCGGCTCTGCCTTCTACTGCAGTGGACTGGCATTTATAAACTTTACTATCCAGTCCCCTTTCTCATCAGGCTTCAGAAGAGTGTGGTGGCAGCTTGGAAGTGGAAAGAAGGGAGAAGTGAGAGCATTTCTCCACTTCTCTTTTGGAGATAACAAAAGTAGTGACTGACTCCACGGTTATAGGCTGTGTTTGCCACTTTGACACTGCCATGACAAAAGACCAGAGCAAAAGCAATTAGAGGAGGAAAGATTTGGTTCACAACTTCAAAAGTTTCAGCCCATGGTCAGCTAGCTCCAACACTTTGGGTCTGAAAAGAGGCTGACCATTGTGGTGGTGGCGGCATGTGACTGAGTGGGCTGCTCGGCTTCTGGAAACCAGGAAGTGTGGGAGCGGAAGGGATAGGGCCTGGGCTTGAAGGCCACTCCCTCCAATGAGGTCCCATCTCCCAAAGGCTCCACCACTTTCACATAGGACATCAACTGGCAACCAAGCAGCACACGGTTATTAGGGGACATTTCCTTTCCTTTCCCCAACTCCTTTTCCCCCTACATTTATTGAAGATCACAAGATGGTAGCAGAAACACAAGAGAGAAAAAGGGAACCAAATGGAAAGGGGAAAAAAAAAAAAAAGGGCTGGGGACATTTCTGACCCAAACCATAATGGGTTTTTCTAGACAGCCCTGTGTGCCTTTCAAGCTCTTCTAGGACCTTTGTAACAAGTCCCTGGAGCCAGGCATGGTGGCACACCTGGAATCCAGCACTCTGGAGGATGAGACAGGAGGATCAATGAGTTAGAGGCCAGCCTGGACTACACATTCGAATTCAAGGTCAGTCTGGACTATATAGTAACACTCTGGAGACAGACAGAGACAGAGAGACAGAGAGACAGAGAAAGAGAGAGAGAGAGAGAGAGAGAGAGAGAGAGAGAGAGAGAGAGAGAGAGAGAGATCCCTATGTTAAATTCCTCCTGCTGAACCACTTAGCTAAGGCCATCCTCCAGATCAGATCCTGACGAACACAGCCAGGCTGTGGGTAATTTCTGGTCAGTTTTTATTTCCACTGTTGTCCTGCCCTGATGGTGTACAACCTTCATTTAGTAGCCACAAAAGTAGCTGTCAAAGCTTGAGCACAAGCCCAGCTGAATCGAAACCCAACCCCTTTCCTTTGTACACTGCAGAGATGAACACAACTAGAAAAAACACAGAGTCCCATCGTCACTTTATTTTTATTTTTTATTTCTTTTGGTGGAACCAGGGATTGAACTCAGGCCCTTGCACTTGCCAGGGAAGCGCTTATTCCACTGAGCCATCTCCCTGGCCCACATGGAGATGGGGGCACCTTAAAGTCACTTTAAAGTCATGGTCACTATCCTAACCTGGGCCGTTCATGGTGTCCCCATTCTCCTGCCACTCCCCCGGACCACACACACTCCCAGTTTCCTAGGCAACTGCTCTCAACCCCACCCCTAACACCACTCCCCCCAAATCACTCCAGATGTTGACCTGTTTCTCATTTCACTGAGAAGTCAGAAGCATTCAAAAGAGAACAAGCGCCTGCCATCCCATCTTCCCAGCTACCAGCCGCAGGCTGTTTATTCTCCCTTCTCTCTGCTATCTGTGCATGAACTGTCTGCAGCGCAGGCAAAGAGCAACTACCTGTACTTCTTACATGTGAAGCCCCTTCCCTTTTTTATTATTTATTTTTTGTCTTTTTAAGACAGGGTCTCACTATGCAGCTCAGGCTGGCCTTGAGCTCACTTTGTAAGCCCAGGCTGGTCTCAACCTCTCAACAATCCTCCTGCCTCAGCCTCCTGAGTGCTAGGATTACAGTTGTATACCACCACACTCAGCAATGCCCCTTTCTTGTCTGCTCAGAAGCACTGATTGCTCCAATAGTTCTCCTTTCTCACTTCTGCATTATCTTTTATTTTCTATTTGGTATTTCTGTCACCATACAAACATCCCATGTTTTCTTGTTTTGGTACCAGGAATTGAACTCAGGGCCTTGTGCTTACCAGGCAGACTCTTAAACCACTGAGCTATCTTCCCAGCCCTCCAACCCATTGTTTTCTGTCATTAAAAAAAATTCTCAGGGCCGGGGAGATGGCCCAGTGGAATAAGTGCTTCTCTGGCAAGTGCAAGGCCCTGAGTTCAATCCCCGGTTCCGGAAAAAAAAAAAAAAAATTCTCTCAGCACCTGCAATTCCAGCATTCAGGAGGCTGAGGCAGGAGAACCACAAGAAGTTCAAGCCCAGCCTGGGCTACACAGCAAGACCCTGTCTCAATGAATGAATGAATTAAAAATTCTCACAGCTGAAGATGTAGCTGAGGGGTAGTGTTTGCTAAGGAAATTCAAGGCTGCTGGGGATTTATAGCTCAGCAGCACAGCGCCTGCCTGGCAAGCACAAGGTCCTGAGTTTGATTCCAGGTATGAGGGGGAAAAAAAAGTGCAAGACCTTGGTTTTAATCCTAGCACTGTAAAAAAAAAAAAAATTAAAACTCTCTCAATTCTATTTCCCTCTCTAGCCACTCCTCCACTAACATACTATTTACTACTCCGCTTTCTTCAAACTTTCAAATTCTTCAATATAGTTACATCTGCTTTCTTTCTCCTTTCCACCACCAGCACCACCAAAACTGCTCTCCTCAATGAAGTCAGCAGTAATGTCTCATTGCTAACTCCAATGGTTGGCTCCCAGGCCTCACCATGCTTCTCCTCAGCACCGCACACAACCATTTCCTTCTCCTCTCCCCAGTCTCTAAATGTTGGAGAGTCTTGGGCCCCAGAAACCAGCTACTACAGCCCTAATCCATAGCCTGTCATCGTTGCATGCTGAGTCACTAGTCGCCTATCTGGGCCCTTCCCATCATTCTCACCCCTCTTCACTATTCCTAACACAGGTACCAGATAGATCCTTCTTACACCTAAGCCAAGCCTTGCTGCTCCCTAACTCATCACAGAAAAAGCTAAAACAGTTACACCGAGTACAAGCCCAGCATTCTGACCCAGGTACCCCTCTGGCTTCGTCTTCCCCTCACTGGTTCTTTTCTAGCTACACCGCTCAGCTACCTTAACCATTCCAGGCTTTCTACTGCCTCAAGCGTGTGCATTTAGGATTTTTTCTACAAGGATTTGTGTTATTACTTGAATGTCACTTTGTCAAAATGGTCATCCACCACTGCTTGACATTAAATTGTGTACATCCCTGCCACCTATCATTCTCACTCATTTAATTTTCTTATTTCCATCCACTAAACTATATTTTTAGCTTTTTTTTCATTATTGTCTTTCTCCACTAAAGTCGAAACTACACCCAGTTAGAGAAGGAGTCCAGCAGGGCTCTGGATGGCCATGGCTATGGGCTTCTTATTCGAGGTCCAGGCTGAGGCCACTGCCACACTGAGGAATGGGCCCTGTCCTCTGATGGCTACCTCCCTCTTCTCTGCAGCACCCCCAAGTTCAGGCAGCCCAAGTCGAGGTCTAGAGGTTGCTACTAGAAAGCTGGCTCTGGCTGGAGGAAGAAGTTAAGAAGGCCAGTCTGACAGCCTCAGAGACAAGAGCTGTGTTTATCCAGGAAAATAAGTCAGACGTAGGCACAGAGGCCCCTGCCAGGTCCTCCCAGGACAGAGCTGGGGGAGCAAGCTGGAGAGGAAGCTGCTTCCCTAGGACGCTCACGTCTGGGGCCAGAAGCCAGAAGCCAGGATCCAGCAGCCTTCCACAGGTAACATCTGTGCTGTGCCTGGAGGCACAGGAGAGACTGTGCCCGACTCAGTCTCTGGGCAGAGGATTGCGATAGCGCGCTCCTACTGACACTGTGCAGGGTTTCCACGAGCGAGCGCACTGCTGAGCAGTCTTCCCCAGTGGCCTCTGGGGGGTGGTGGAGAATCAATAGGGCCTTTGTGCTGGGTAGCTTCCCAGCGAGAAACACTGGTGAATGAGTCGCACGACCAAACGACCTGGCCCCGCCCTGCCATCTGAGGATGTGATAGGGCAGCAGGGTTTGGAAGCGTAGGGTCAGGGCCAGGGTGGGGGTGGTTCTTTGCACTCCTTAAACTGACTTTGGGTGTCCTCAGGTCAGCCATCTCGCGTGTCCCCCGCTGTCAGCATTAGTGAGGCCCCCTTCTGGCCGGCAGCACCTTGGGAAGGCAATGAGAGCCTTGAGGGAAGAACCAGAGCAGGCTGATAGCGTGAGGCCAGCAGGATGGCTCAGTAGGGGAAGCTAGCGCCCAGGCAGCTTGGACAAAGCGGAGGGAGAGTCCTGAAGGCGCTGGCCCAGATCCTGGAGAAGGGACCAAGCATTTGGAGTAGGCTGGGAGAAGGGGGCGAGCCCACCTAGTGCCAGTGTCAAGGGGAGAGTGCACAGGAGCGGGATTCAGGATCTGGGACCGCATTTGTGACCAACAGGGCCTTTGGGTTGCGCAGGTGTTGTTCTAGTTCTAATAGTAACTGTGGCGCTAATAGGTGTGTTGGGCCCCGACTGAGGTGGGTGGGGCAGTCTATGTCCTCGGTTATCCGCGACCCGAATCTTAAAATGTGACCCCTGCAGACCCTGTGCTCCATCCCATCCCCAACCCTAGCCTGCCGTCCTTTCTTGTTCCCGCTCAATCACAGGCCTTGCGCGCTGGGAGACTGGGCGCGGCAGGTGGTTGCAGCATCACCCCGCTCCAGACCCTCTTCTCCAGCCCAGCTCCGTTCAGCCCTCCCAGAGGAGACGCCCTGCGGTATTTGGAGCCTCATTCCCCTCACCCCACTGCATGTGGCTCTTGGAGAAAGTAGGCTACAGGGCGGAGCCGGGGACTGGCTGGGCGCGCTGCAGGCTGCTCCCGGAGAGACGCGCCCCGAGCCTGCGCGCCCGCGCCTGCCCCAACGTGCTCACCCCGGACCGCATCCCGCGGTTCTGCATCCCGCCGCGACTCGCAGACCCGAGCGGCACCGACCCCCACGCCGCGCGCGGCGTCCCCGCGGCCTGCTCGCTGCCGCACCTGGCGGGCCGTGAGGGCTGGGCCTTCCTGCCCGAGAGTCCGCACACGCGCCGCCGCGAGTCCCTGTTCCACGCGCCGCCGCCCGGCCTGGCCGCGGGGCTGCCCCCGGAGCCGTCTCGGCTGCACGTCTCGGCCCCGGACCTGCGCCTCTGCCTCGTCCCGGACAGCGACACGGCCTCGTCGTCCGACTCGTCGCCCTTCAGCTCCCCGCGGCCGGGCGCGGGCGTGGATGAGGACGCGGGCCGGGCCGGGCGCGGGCCGCTCTCGCGGTCCCTCGAGGGGGCGCGCTCCGCTGACGCCAGCCCGTTCTCCCCGCACCGCCGCGG